TTGAATAATTATAATTTTAGAATAAAATTAATTAACTCAGAACTAGATATAAAAATAATTAATCAAAATGAGTTTTTTTTTCTAATGAAAATTGAATTCCAGTTCGAATGAAATGTGAACCATAGTGAAAGTGAGGTAAACGTTAAATGATATAATTCTATTAAAATAGTCGAACATAAATCCAAATTATCAACACATAAATTCACCACATGGACAATATAGCAATATGTTTATGTGTATTTTATAAATTTTAGGCGAACGGCTGGGCAAATATTGTCAAACAAAGTTGTTGGCACCTCACATAATATAAACTTAAATAGAGAAAATTTACTTTGCTTATCGAATAATTATGGTAATTTCTTCCTCCATGAAGGTAACTTTTACAGTTTGAAGTTGTATCTTATTAAGCAACGACCCGTCCACCAACAACCTATAACCAAGGTTTCTCGGATTATGAGTCCATTCTAACGTAACAAAAAAAAAAAAAGCTATTTTTTACCGCGTGGGAAAAAAACTAATGTTGGAAAAACTTAATAAATTAATTAAAAAAACCATAGAATTTTGACGTTTATGATTGATACCGATTCTGACACGTTAACCGGTTCGTAGATTAATGAACAAAAGATGACATTCAATGAAAAGTCTCGGAGTTCTGGTTTAGACCCAGAATCTCCATTTACAATCCTTCGGTTCCGGATTTAGAGTTCTAAACCGGATGGTATACATCGGTTTAGTGACGTGATGAAATTATTTGCTGTGGAAGGATGGACAAGCATTTTATACAGTTCTGATTACTGATTTAAGATTTTTTTTTGTTTTTTTTATAGATGCCTAGGTCAAAGTGGTAATTTGGGGATTCCGGTTCGCCCTTGCCGGCCGCCGTCTGCGATGGGCTCGTCCAACTCAGACCAGGATCTGAATCTTTCTATTCTCAGCCTCGACCTGAACCCGTGGACAGCCGAACCCTCGCTGCACCTCACAGATATCCAAAACACGAATACCTTATCCAACCACGAGATCGTGCTCTAACCGAAAAACCCGAAAAAGATGAGACCAAAATCGGGTAAATTGAAAAAACTCGGATACCCAACCGTGAACCACCCCTAACATGCAAAATACGAACCATATTCATTTGCGCAAGGAAAAAGAGGTACAAAAGCAACTACACTCCACACAAGTTTATGCAGAACAATGTAAATGAGCATATATCATATAGAATTCGAGAACTGCAAATCAAAAACCTCCCTTAAGGGCATGAATCATCTCCACATTACATCGAATTAAGTTGTTCCAGCTTCTAACTCGTCGTGGATAAACCCAAAAAACCAAGTAGAGTTAAGGATCCAAAAACCATTTCTGCAGTAGAATACTAGCTGGGTCTGGGTGGCTGATTCGGATGGCCGCAATCTTCGTTCTAAATGCTCGGCCGATGTTCTTCCGCAGTGCAGCTATATCTTTGAAGAGTGACGGCATGGATACCAGAGTTCCTCTCTGTCCATATAGCTGTCATGTGATACTTGCCCCTGTCTGAAACAATTTACTATCCCATCTTCCACTTAGCCAATCTAAGATATTGTCCCATGATAACAGAGCAGGAAGGTTTCCCCATTTACTGAGAAAATAAGTAATGAGTACCTGAAGTGTAGGACAGAGAAAGAAGAGATGATTTCTGCTCTCTTCCTCAGACCCGCAGAAAATACATACAGCGTTTGTCTGAACTCGCCACACTCGCATTCTATCTTTTGTTGGGCAGCGGTTGGTGTACGAATAGCCAAGTGATAAAAGAATGCTTAGGTGTGTTATGTTTACATCATACCAAGTTTGCCCAGGTTACCTTCGACTTGTCCCTCTTAATGTATTTCCAAATTTCCCTTGCGACGAATCTCGAGTTGTTAGAGTTATCCACTTTCCATTCCATAGTGTCCTCTCGGTTGTGTAGAGTTATTCTCCTAAGATAGACGTGTAGATTCACTATTTCATCCGACCTTGCAGCTGGTAACCCCCATATGTTCCCTCTATACACATCCGCAACTTTGGCTTGCTTTGGGATGCCTAGTCGCTCGGGGCCGTCACACCTTTCATGGCTAATAGAATTATTCACCTCATTGTTGTTATGGTACTCAACTCTTTGATCAAGCCATTTCCCGTTCTGCCTTCCCTGCGAAGAGCTTCGTTCCGATCATGTTATCCATGAAATATTCTCTGTAAGGGTGATTCCAGGTGACAAGTTTCCAAAACTTGTCAAACTGTTTCTCGGCCTCCTCCTTCTCCAACAATGTGTATATGATGATTCCTTGACAGAGATATGGTCGGAAATCTCTCGGTTCCTCCTTCACAAGCTCCTCATAAAGCTTCAATGCTTCGTAATGCTTCCCTTCTATGCCCCGAATTTGGGCCACAATCAGCTTGAAATCCCCAAAATCCTTAGGGTTCTTCCCTTTCTTGCATTTTCCAATTGCTTCCTGAATTCTCTTCTCCACTTCTTTCACATCCCTACCTGAATCAGAATACGCCATAACACGAAGAGGGTCCCGGAATCACTTCAAACTCGTTTTTGGCTGATTCCAAATCTCCACTGTAGCTATAGATATTAGCTTTCAGCACTGACCATTCCTTCTCATCAGGTTTCAATTTAATCAAACGATCAAGCACCTCTATAGCTTCTACAAGCTTCTTAGATTTGATCCTCACCTCCATCAACGACCGTAAAACATCCACATCTGTAGGGTGACTTGCTAATTGCTCCTCAATCGCCCTCTCTTCCTACTCCAACGAAATTTCTTCCTTCGTCTGCTTGAATGATTCCATCAACGGCACAGCGACGGGAGCCTCAATCGCCGGCGGTTTGAGCTGGAGATTCATGAAGAAAAACGCCGTGGCGACTGTGAAGGTGATGCAGGTGGATTTGAGGAGGCGTGAAGGAAGAGATTGCGACACAGAAAACCCAGGGTTTCGAGTTTCGGACGATGAAGAAGCTCTGATGGAGGTACATTTGAGAGAGGAGGCCGATCGGTGCAAGGATCTGAAGGAACACGAAGAGGTGTAACTGAACGGCAGTTGAAATGGCTGGAGATGGAGTAGTAATCTTCCTAGAGGATCCATGATTGAGTAGAGAGCAGGAGAGAGAGATAATAAACCCTAGAAACCCCACAATGGCTAAGTGAGGGGGGAGGAGGAGGAGGAGGAGCCTCCCCGAGAATATCCCGTTTTTCTGCAGGACAAACGGTATCGTTAGTGAGATGATATCATTGGGCCTTTAATGGGCCGATGATACTATTGGGCCTTTAAGTTTGGCATCGACTGAGGAGATAAGAAGACCGTCTTGGAAGAATCGTAACGAAGATTCAGTATTTCGGGAAACTTTCCACGAAAACGAAGTCAAGATGGGGAGCCAACAGAGTTTAGAAATAGAAAGTATGATCGGTTTGGGAGCTATGTTTGGTTAACCAAACCGACTGAACCGGTTTCAACCGCTAAGCAAGTAGCAGCCACCGCTTTCCTGTACCTAATTCGTTTGGATACTTTCGTTAACCAAATTCATTTTTTATTATATAAATTAGAATTCTACCTAAGATTTCGGTTACATCTATCTATGAACATGAAATGATATCTACTTTGAAAGATATAACCGAAGTCTTGATTTGGTACGGTATGAACCGACCAAATCTCGGTTTTGAGAATATCATGGTTTCTTGACGTACCGATTCCAGCTTAGCCGCCATTTTAGTCTCCATGACTGAAAAAATATATTATAAAGTCAAAATAAAACAAAACCATAACATATTTTGACTTTATTAATGCTTTTTGTTGACAATGAAATAAAATCCGTAATGTTTTTTATTGTTTTGAATAATAATTGGACAATTAACTCGTCGTCACGATTACATCACTGATGACATGTGTATATGTATATTTTTATTACTAAAACTAGTATTAATTAGTAAAAATAAATTATCTAAAATAAATAACTAATACTTTTTTCTGTTAAAAAATTTAAAAAAAAATTCTATTTTTATCGTGTGTCACGGATAATGATTTTTCTAAAGTCTTTGTATAATTGTTCAGAGACGTAACTCTCTTAAAACCGACAAGGAAAAATACATTTCAAATCATAAAATCATTTACTAAATTACTAAACATCATCATCATTATCACCATTATTATTATTATTATTATTATTATTATTATTATTATTATTATTATTATTATCATCATCATCATCATCATCATCATTATTATTATTTTATGGCTATTTTAGAAATAAAATTAAGTCGGTACTACTTCTTGAATATATTATGTATACATGTTCCATTTAAATGCGTTTGAATAACGTGTTTGAAAAATTAGACGTTGAATTGGTATTTGTCAATGGTTACACTTCTGCTGTTTTCTTCCTTCTTTATTCAACTTGTGGTAGTTATATTCTTTCGGAGAGTGCGAACTTATTTACTTTTAAGTTTCAAATAATTATAATATATAATGCATATAATTATGTGGATGTATTTTTAATGCAATCTTTACAATACAATGGTTTATGCGTAATTATTGATTTATGTACACGGTGCTTGCTATTTCAAATTAATTTTATATATAAACCGATTAGTATTAAAATTCAAATTAATATAAACTAAGTTTGCTGACAATTTTTGAATGTATTTACTGTTTTTTGTTGACTGTAATTATACTGCGGTTCAGATTTATCCTTCAGATATTTCGAGGAAAACGTAATGAAAACAAATTTATTTTATAGCTCACCTATAGCGACTTGGCTTCTGAATCAATGACGAAATTGTCCACGGTTTTAGAGCACGTGGATTATACTTCACGTTGTTGATATAAGGGTAATATTGGTATCTCAGTTTGTCCAAGTCAAAGTAGTAGTGCTTTTGTGTTCGGCGACCTGCTTTGGTCAACGAAAAAAAGTCAAACTTCGAAAGCTTCTTACCTTTATAAATACTTTGGTGCTCCTTCAACATGGCAATCTTCATTACAAACTCTTCAGCAGTTCTTCTTTCTGTCTTTTTTTCTCTCTGAATCCCAAAAAAAAAAAAAGATATCTGTAATCGTCATTTTTATTTCTAGATTCCTTGAGATATGAAGAGAGAAAGATCAGATTACGAAAACTCCATCAAATCTCTCGACATCGCAAAATATCTGATCCTACTTTCCGAGACCTTTGCAAATACACCGATGGTTACAAACCAATCCGTCAACGAAGATACAAACCATTTCGAATGCAAAACATGCAACAAGAGATTTTCTTCGTTCCAAGCCCTGGGAGGACATCGAGCGAGTCACAAGAAACCTAAATTGGTAGGCGAGCCGAAGCATAACAACGGCGCCGATAACGATAAAACGCACGAGTGTTCGATATGTAGACAGTCGTTCGGCTCGGGACAAGCTCTCGGGGGTCACATGAGACGACACAGAGCGGTCATATCGGCCGAGCCAGTGATCCTCTGTCCGAAACTTCCCGCAGTGTTGCCTGTCCTGAAGAGATGTAACAGTAGTAAGAGGGTATTGTCTTTGGATTTGAATCTAACGCCGTTAGAGAATGATCTTGAATACGTTTTGGGCAATACTTATTTGTCTCCCAAGATCGATATGAACTTTGTTAGTTAGTATTTTTTTTTTTTTTATCTTTTCCAAATCTGTTGTGATCATTGTTTGTTTTTATTCTAATTCTTTGATTTCTTTTCAGTCATGTAAAGAAAAAATCATAATAAAATGATTTCTGTTTATCTCATATGAAGTCTTTTTTGTGCGATGATTAATGTGATTTTTTAACCGCGGTGGACATTTGGGGTTTCGGTTATTTTTCTTTTTTGTGAGAAATTATATCCATTTATGTTTTATGATAGTTTTCAGTTTCGATACTCGGTTCGGTTATTGTTCGGTTCGATTCTAGAAATAAATTTTATGAATATATTTTGTATACGTCTTAATCAAAACACATTTTATGAATCTATTTGTAAACTCTTTATTTTTCAACATTAATTTAATAAATTTCTTATCCACTAAAGAAACTAATCATAACAATATGTTACATGGATCGTGAATCATAAAAATATATTTAATCACTATAACTATATTGTTATTTGTTACAAAATGGTCACATCAAGCCTAAACCGTCCGTTGAATACGTTTTTAGGGATGGACATAATATATGAAAAACCGAACCGATCCATTATTTGATTTATCTTCGAATCGAAAATTCGAATTTTTAGAATTCACAGATCGGATACGGATATTTGTTTCAAAATATTTGTCGGATACGGATAACAAAATCGAATATCCGATATATCCGATTCAATCTGTAATTTTTATTAATATTATTAAATATATGAATATGTTGGTAATTAGTTTATATTATGGGGTCATTCTGAAAAAAGAAAAAAAAAACTAGGGTTTAGGGTTTGTTTATTTGTTTTCACCTGTCGTCAAGTTTCCCCAATTGCTCAGCCTCCCTCTCTCCCTCTGGTTTCTTCGCATTTTCATCGATTTTGACATGTGTTTAGTCTGAGGAAACATTTGGAAGGTACAGAGTAGATTTGTGTTCGGATTGGCTTTTGGTTTGGCGAAGGATGCATTAGTTTAAATCATCCTTCTCTCTCACTTTCGATTCTCTCAGTCTCTCTCATCTCTCATACACTTTCAGATCTCAACCTTTCTCGGCCTCCATCGCCTCTCTCGATCTCAGGTCCGATTTCAACCTCTCTTGTCTTCTCTCAATTACTTGGTTAAAGTTTCTCATTCGATTTCGATTTTCCTGTCGAACCGTATGTACACATATTTGTACAGAGAATATAAATATAGTTTTTGTGTTTATTTGGTGAAATTTGTTTACTGGAATCCACTTTTTGAATTTTGACTCAGAATGTGTTTTGGGTTTTCTGATTCAGGGTCAAAAAGGATAAGTATTTCCGCCCCTTCGATCTAGATTTTGTAGAAGTAGCAGAATAGGGCAAACTTCACGGATATACCAAACCTGTCGCATCCATTTCGTTGATACACACCAAAAACATATGGAATTAGTAAAAGACGTTCTTACCCTTAAAAAAGTTGGAAAAGACTATAATAACCTCGACATTGAAAAAAGGTATATATCAACATATACGCGTGTAACATAAAAACCGGTCATTGTATATCCAAAAAAAAAACCGGCCACTTAAAATTTAAAAATAAAAATTAAAAATCATACAAAAAAGATGTTGGGATAAAAATCGAACGAATATAGAAAGTCGTAAATACAACAAAAACAAAGTTACAAAGAAATAGTTGCAATTGTAACAAAAAAAAGAGTAGCAATTGTAACTGAATTCGTCTGAATTTGAATTTGTGTAAAAAAATAAATATTGAAATTAAACATAGACAAATTAAAGCACGAATTATTTAAAAACCTAACAATTGTGTGTCAAATGAGAAACATTTAGAAAATGATTTATGGTAAAATTTATATAAAATCGATCTTGTGTGTAAAAAACAAATATAGAAAGTCGTATATACTACAAACAAAAGTGGTAAAAAAAGAATAACAATTTTGATCAAATAAAAGTGGGCCCAACCAAAAATAAAAAAACGACGTTTTGTCTCGGGAATCGGCCAAAACCAAATATTTACGACTTGATCACAACTCATTTGCCACCAACGAATTCTTATAAAATTGTTAAAAGATCGCGAATTTTGACTCGATTTTGTCAAATAATGATAGAAATCTATCAATTTAATGATAATAATCGGTTTACATTAATATTTTCAACAAATTTAATATTTTGGTATATTTTATATAATATGGTTGAGTGTGTTTATATAAGTTTAATATACATTTGGTCTTACATATCAAGAATTATACCAAATTTTTAATAAAATTGTAATTTATGACTTAAAACTCTTTTTATTGATATAATTAATATATATCTATCACCATTCAAAAAATTATCGACAAAATACATGTTTTACGTATATATTTTTCTGATTTACGAATTCATAAGCAAGTCGTATTTAAGTCGTAATAAATTAGTTTCGACAGATAATAAAATAAACGTACACGTTTTTCGATATGTCAGATATTTATCTTCTTACACCGCAGAGTTTTTTAGTTAAAATATGTTAGGGTATTTAGTACATTTTATATACAGGGTTAAATAGGTCATTTTATCCCTATTGGAGTGTAAAATCTGATAGAAATTTTTTTTACAATTCCAGAGGTGTATCAATGATAGCCCTGCGACCCGCGAGGGGTATTCTTGAAGTTTGCCCAGCAGAATAGCAGTTTGCCTGAGTTCTGATTCTGTCTTTGAATGAAAGCTAAGATGATGCCAATGGTCTGGAGAATGACTGCTTTCGCGTTGGCTTCTGCTTCAGATTTGGTTCAGATTCATCCCCTGGGGAGAGATACTCTGAACAATTTCTTACATTGTTCATCTTGTCCGAGATCGATTTTTTCCAGTGCTAGAGACTGCACTGCAGTATGTCTTACAGAGAGAGATTGCGATGTGGGTTTCATGATTGTGACGTTGTGGCTGCTGTTGATTTGTTCGATCGGATGGTTCGGTCTCGTCCCTTTCCTTCCATCGTTGATTTCAATAAACTATTGAGTGCAGTCATGAAAATGAAATGGTATGATGTTGTGATTTCCCTCTGCAAGAGAATGGAATTGCTTGGGGTTTCACATGATATCTACTCTTTGAATATTCTGATCAACTGTTTATGCCGCTCTCGTCAAGTGTTCTCGGGTTTATCAGTTGTGGGGAAAATCATGAGACGGGGTTATGAGCCTGATGTAGTCACCTACACCACCCTAGCTAATGGATTCTGTATCCATGGTAAGATATTCGCAGCATTAAGCTTGATTGATCAAATGGTGAAAGAAGGATATAAGCCTAATGTTGTAACATTTAACACTTTGGTCAACGGACTTTGTCTTGAGGATAGAGTTTTCGAAGCGGTGAGTTTACTTGACCAAATGCTAAAGATTGATTGTCAACCCGATATAGTTACATTTGGCACTGTTATAAACAGGGTCTGTAAGTTAGGGGATTATGATTTGATATTGAATCTACTCGTGATGATGGAGGAAATGCGCATTGAGGTCAATGAAAGAATTTATTGTACGATCACTGATTGCCTTTGCAAATTAGGACACATGGACGATGCATTGAGCCTCTTTGGAAAGATGGATAACGTCGGGATTGTACCAAATGTTAATACCTACACCTCTTTCATAAACAACCTTTGCAGAGTTGGTAGATGGGACAATGTTACTCGATTGTTGAGTGAGATGAAAAAAAAATCACCCCTAATATTGTCACTTTCAATGGATTAATCGATACACTCTGTAAAGAGAAGAGGTTTCTGAAGGCCAAAGAATTATACGAGGAGATGATCCGAAGAGGTTTAGTTCCGAATACTATTACTTATACTTCATTGATCAATGGATTTTGCATGCAGAATCGCCTTGACGAGGCGGAACAGATGTTCGTTTCTATGATCACCAAGGGATGCTTTCCAAATGTAGTAACTTTTAATTCTATGATACATGGTTACTGGCTAATAGGGTAGATAAGGGTATGAATCTCTGTTATGAGATGTCTCGAAGAGAATTGGTTGCTGATTCGTTTACTTATAACGTTCTCATCCAAGGGTTTTATCGAGTAGACAACCTTGATGCTGCCCAAAAGTTTCTCCTGGAGATGCAGTATAAAGGTCATCATCTTGATCTTATAACTTACAGCATTTTGCTTGATGGTCATTGTAAGAACGGAAAAACAGACAAGGCACTTGGCCTATATAATAAGCTGAAAAAGAGTGGGATTGATCTCAATATATCCATCCATAGTGTTATGGTGCATGGGTTATGCAAGGCCGGGAAAGTTGACAAGGCATTCTTGTTATTTAATGGACTTCTTGATAAAGGAGTGAAACCGAATGTTATCACATATAATATAATGATTTCCGGACTTTGTGGAAAAGGTTTACTTTATGAAGTCGAAACGGTAATCGGAAGGATGAAAGAGGCTGGTTGTTTTCCTGATGATGTTATATACAACACATTGATCAAGGGTCATCTCAAGAGTGGCTCTCCATCGATGGTTATCGAGCTCATACGAGAAATGCGGAGCAATGAGTTTTCTATACATGAATCGACCATAAACATGATAATAGATATGGTGTCTGATGGTAGATTGAAAAAAGAGTTTCTGAAACTTCTCTGTTAGCGATTTAGTTATCGCAGTGTTGACTTTATTTTCTGTCATGGCAATTTATTTGACCAAGAGGTGATCTCTTCTGCCTTGGATTTAAAATCTGAAGCTGATTGAATTGTGTCACTGCTCGTAATTCATGTTCTCTTTGGTGGTTCATTTTTGTCAGTTGAGTCCACATCTCTTAACTCAAACAACAAAGTACCGAATTCTACCGACGAGCAATATATGAATGGGCACCCGAGATCCTGAAGATGCTCAGTAGATTGCAAGCCGAGACCATGGAAGCTATGGATCAAACGAATGGTGAGAGTACTTTCGTAAAACTTAAATGAAGTCAGATGTCAAGATTCTGATCATAAATGTGTATTGATTGCACCGCCTTGTGTTTGATCCGAATTCTGTCTTTGATCCTTTTTTTGTTTGTACAAAATGGAATACAATGTTTGAGATACGGTAAGCAGCTTATGGGGAAAAGGATTTAGATTCTTTATTGGTCCTCAAATGACTGTAGGTATGGAATTGGAGAATTTGCTTTAAAACTTTTGTAACTTAAGATCGGGACGGAGAATAGGAAAGCACTGTCATGAGGATTAAATTGATCATAAACAAAATAAACGGCTCAATATTATGAATTTCTAAAAATTGAGGGATCGGGTTCAATCCCAATAAAATGTCTTTTTTTCTCTCTAGTATTATCTTTTTAATCCTAGGTTTTTTTATAGAGTTGTCACTGTGAGAAGCCCATTAACAGTATTTCAAAGTCCACTAACCATATATATATATTGTTTCAAGCCCCAATCATTATATATATATATATATATATATGAATTTGTAGAAGATTAGACCGATAATTCACACTCCAACAGAAATAAAAAATATGCTTGTAAACAACTAAACGAAATTCCAAATATCATTTTTTTATAATGTAGAAATTCATCAAACTTCAACTATATTTGAGGACCGGGGAAATTCCAAGCATTGTTGCTAGTAACTTGTAAGAAAATACTCTCACAGGTCAGACCACAAGATTCAATTTCACTCATTCCGGCAAAACTAAATTCCTAAGTATCAGTTAAAAAATTGGTTTCTCATATCAATAACAATAAATTCCAATTCCACAAAAAAAAATTCCTCATGCATCAACAATAATGTGTATATTTTTAAAAACTATATATTAAACAAGCGGTACATAAACTAAGATGCAAGTATGTATAAAAATAAAGATTAAGATGCAAGTACAATATATATAATATGTATGATACATAGTTTATTATATATATGTAGGCACACGCAAAATTAATAACATGATGATGTAGAAGAGATGATATAATAATACAATGATGCATATGTGTATTATGAGCACAAAATAAAATGTACATAAGTTAACGTTGCTTCGTGGGGATTATTTGTGTATTATTATATGACCACAACCACAATACCTTACACTGTGGCAAGTTGACTCTTAAATCCAAATTGCAAATTTATTATAACCTATCGAGTAAATATAATGATGATTGAAGAAAAGTCAACGGCTTTGCTAATTTGACAACACAAATTGAATTAGACACTGTAAGGTTAAGTTCGGACGTGCATGTGATGTGATGACCACTCACCATAGCATATGATATGGATATTAAACACACACACACACACATATATATAAGTTTATACGTATAGATACGCATATGTATATACATAATACACATGTCTACATTTGTAGATTTGGAATTTATAAATTCGAGTGTAACATAATGCATCATGCATGTGTGCGTATGTGCATGATCATCACGCAAACAATGGAAAGTTGCAAACATAGACAAAACATGCATGTGAGAAATCACAGTGATGAACGGAAATGACATTCGAGGGTATTTTATATATAATCTTTCATATTCCTCAATTTCATTGTCGGATGAAATATTTATTTTGTCGCTCAATTTTTACATCGAGTATTTCGATATCTTCAAGTTCTATAATTGTATAATTAGTAATTAACCACAGTAAATAAGAAAAAATAATAATATGTAAATTCTATATTTATGTAAATTTTATAACTTTTCTCTACTATTGTTGGAAAGGCTAAAACATGGCAATTGTGTGAAACATTTATGCATACATATAGAAGTTAGAACCCTAGTTATATACATAATAGTATAGATACATGCATGAGCGGACCCATTGGGAATGCGTTCACATGCCCCACCTTTTAATTAAAAATGTTTAATTTCTTAATACATTTTATAAAAAATTAATTAAATTTGTTAAATGATCCCACTAAAATTAAATCTACTTTTACTATTGTCTCCACTCTCTAGTTATAAAATTATTTGGATCCGCTCCTGCATATATATATATATGTATATATGTATGAGGACTCGGGAATGACATACTATACACTCACTCACATATGGATCCATTACGTACTGCGCACATATCCATGTGTATACATGCACACGCATGCGGATACGTACATATATATATATATATGCAATGGATGTAATTAATATATCCTGGTTCAGCTTTCGTCCGAATAAATCATTATAGAATTATTATTTTGTTTTATTACACAGTAATTTTAGTACGCAAAATTCCATGTTCTAGACGGTCCAAATGCGACTGACTTTCTGAATTAGGGTTCATGGAACTTGATTTAATAGCCTAAGCGCGCTTTTTGAATCCTCGGGAAGAATTAAATTAATGGCACCGATTCTGCCATTTCTTTTCATTTGTAACAAAAGAATATTCGCACTATGCTAAGTGGTTTCAAGTCCAGAAAGCTAATTCATAGAAAAACAGAAATAAAATCAACTTCAAATCTCCGTAAATAAAATTGAATCGAATCAAATAATATATAATTAATGATATCTAAATTAAATTAGAATTAAAAACTTTAATTATAACTTTTCTAAAACCAAAATCGAATCCGGTCCAATCCGTACCAAGTATGGGACTAACCTGACAAATCCAGATAATATAATTTTTTTATAGAAAATAATATATATTTTACTGAAATTCATTTTCACATTCAAAACAAACCAAAACATATATAAAAATCGAAATGAATATAGTCATATGGATACCGGAAATGTATACCCCTACACGTATGTAAGCACTTGAAGTGAGAGACCAGTTGATTAATATTGTATTTAATTAGCACATTATTGCAATTAAAAGTGAAACCAATTTATTAATATTGTATTTAATTAGCATATATTATTGCAATTAATCACGCAAACTAATGGAAGAATAATGACATGGGACACTTGGATCTGCCAAAGCTGGCCATATGAGCGCACTTTCTAAGGAGAGTGATGGCACCAACTTCCCCTTCATTCAAATTTAAGATCCAAATCATTGATCTTAACTTTATTATAAAAGTATGTATGTCTATACACACACATACATACAACTTTTACAAATAAGTCCAATCATCACGTAAAAAAAACATATAAAACCACTATTTATGATGATATAAAATATTGTAATAAAAAAAATGCTTCCAGTAGTAGTTACATAAGAAAAATTAGACATAAATGAAAATCTCAAAATCTTTTAAAGTTATGTATTAAATTAATTAGACTACTTAAATGGTTTTTGTTTGTTTATGGGATTTCATATCTAGCTTTAAGAATTTTATATATACCCATATCATATAGAAATAATATATTTGGGTATTTAGCTTTTAGCGTATGTGTTCCATGATTGAAACACTTGTTGCTAATCATATCATTACAATACTAATTATTGGATCACACTGAGGTTTGATTCTATATTCTCTGTATGGATCAATGAACTAAACCCACTTTTTCCTTCTTCCCTTTTTTCCTGTCAATATTTCTATTTTAGATTATAGGGAACGCTTGTTGTCATTAAGGAAAAATTTAAAATTTTAAACCATTATTTAAACGGGATATTTCTTTAGTAAAATACGGAATTCATGCAGCGCTATCCTAGAAAACTCAAATTAGTGACGTCCAAGAGCCTCTGTTTCACCCATGCTAGCATAGAATTTAGATGGGTTACTCCGGCCTTCTAAAAAATATAGTTAGACCGAAGATCCGGTGAACTTCCAGATCACCAAAAAAAAAGATCCTCTATTTCACGAGTGGACCAACTTTCTTACAAAATTTTATTTTAGAATGCGATACATTAAGAAAATTATATATATATATATATATATAAGATGGAGTTAAAAAGACCTTCTTATTCAGATGTTGTTAACAATTTTTTCATTTTTAGTTATTCCTATTAGAGTGGATATCTTAATTAGATTATGTAAAACCAAATAGAAACGAATCAAATTTTATAATACATAATTGAATTGAATCTAAAATCATAATGGATATATTATTTTTGTAAAATAAATTAGTTAACCGGACTCGAATAGAATATAAAAATAACTAAAAAATGAGTAAATTTTTTTTTTAGAATGAAAATTTACTTTAATAAAAAAATAGAACTTGATGAATCGAATCTAAATGTCCATGCACAAAACTGACGAATGGATATGATATTTACAAAATTGCAATCGACGAGTTGAAATATAAAACAAAATCTGAAATATCTACTATTAATTCATCCTTAGAAAATTACTGCGCATGCAAATATATATATATATATATATATTTGAAATGTTTGTTTTATATAATAAATTATAAGTTTTTGATGCCCCATTTGAAATGTTATTACTGATTAAACTTAATTTGGTCTTAGTACTTATCGTTTGACAAAATGAAGAGATAATTAAAGGTTGAAAATTAGCTAACACTGAAAGATCTAATACTTAGTTACTTACTATGAGACTTAGAAGGAAAACTGTTTTTTTTTTTTTTGGATAACCGGGTAATCCCAGGCCCAAAGAGACCAGACTAATCCCGACCCACACGCACAACCGGCACCACACGTGTGGGATGTGAAGCACCCGAAGGTGGCCGGAGGGGAAATCTCCATACCCTGGGTGTTGAACCCACGACCTCTTGTTCAGGAAGTGGGCTTTCAAACCAACAGAGACGGGGGAGATCCCCTAGAAGGAAAACTGTTGTTTCTAGGGGTGGCCATTTCGGTTATTAACCGAATAACCGAACCGAACCGAACCGAATAAGACATAACCGTACCCGAACCGAATCCGACATCAAAACCGAACGGTTATGATTTCCTTAAACCCGAAGAACCGAAACCGAAACCGAACCGAACCGAATAAAAAATAACCGAAAAAACCGAGCGAATAACCGACAATTTTCTTTGAAAAATTGAACTTTTTACCAAAACCGAACCGAACCCGAACCGAAAAATAACCGAACCGAACCGAACCGAAATTTATATAAAAACCGAATGGTTATAGTTTTTCTATAACCGAAATAACCGAACCCGAATATAACCGAACCGAACCCGAACCGAAACCCGAATTGGCCACCCCTTGTTTCTATTTAAATAAAATTTTACAATTTAATATTAGATATTTGAAGATTAGAATTTGTTTTCATCTTTCATTTTAATGAAAGAACAATGGGTTTGATAGGATTTGCTCATCACATAACATGATCCGTGATATATTTATAAATTCCTTTAAAGTAAGCTATAATATATTGTCGTTATTGTCTTTTTTTTCTTCATATTCTTATATATTTTATGGAAAAGTATAATTTAATTTTTCTAAAAAAAATAGAATGAGAACATCATCTTGATTAAAACAAATCGTGTTATTATCAAGTTAGCTGAAAATCAATATATAATAGATTGTACATCTAATTTAAATATATGATTGCTGTGGTAGATTAGTTTTAAATAAGCTATAATAAAAAACAATTTATCTGTAAACTTTTATAGCATTTTATGAGTTTAAAGTTTATAATTCTCGTTCTTATAAACAATAAACTAGTGTAAAAAGACTGAAAGGGTTTAGTGTGTTAGTTTACTTTAGATTATGAGGGGGTAAATTTTTAAATTAATTGTATTTGTGTTGTTGTATCATATATTAATTGTATGATTTTGTTACACAAATCGTAAACAATATATTTATTGTATATTTAAAAATGGAACTTCATTAATATATATACTTCCACGTGTCTATATATATCCAAGCAATGCTCATATCATCTCTATTCCTTTGTAACAATATAAGAGATCAATGCTTACATGCATGAACTAAAACCAAACCGAATTTCACACGTGTCCTTAATTAAAGTCTATTTTACCTACTAAATATAGAAGATGTCGCTTGCAAATATATATTAATGACTGAAATATAGCCGTAATTTATTACAAAAAAATTACCTAGGTCATGAATTTTTTTACGTGTCGTTTCGGATGCAAGATGTGGAAAAAGGTATAATAATTTAATGGAGCCGGATTCAGAAAAATCCTGGTTTCCTCATTATTAATACATTTTTTTTTGTAAATATTATTAATACAGTTTTGACTCTGTACTTTAGATGGAAAATAATTAACGTTTAATTAAATATTGGTGTAGATTCTAGAATAGTAGTGGATATTAGGATTTAAATATGTAAAATTGAATTAAATCTATCGAACAATATATAAATGTAGTTGAAATTAATTTGAAATAAAACTTTCTTTAAAATTTATTTTTTTTTTAATAAAAATTAAAGTGAAATGCAAAAAGAATAAAATACGAATAAATATTACATGTAAAATATATATTTTATATATTTTCGCGGAGAATATGTGATGAACTATAGAAGGTGCTAATACATAAAAGTCGATTCCGCTTAGGTCGTCAAGATTTTGTTGAAACTGTATATTTTATATACTCACCCTAAATTATGAAGCTGCTGTTGTCATTCTCCCCTTTTAGGTATCCACGCTTACAACAAAACCTTAAACGAAAATATATGAGATCTCATACATATTCAGATACGATATTACACGTGTACACAAAATACATATACACTCATAATACATATATATACACGTACTTGTACTCATACATGCACACGCACACATAATATATGTACATATGAGTGTGTATATATATATAATATGAGCATATATATATACACAATATATATGGTTATATACATATATATGGACGTACATTAATGAATACTCTTGAAAAAAAAAACTTAGTTTTATGAGGATATTTACAATAATGAACTCTTCCGAAATATAGATTTTGATAATATAACAGTTGAATAAAAAAAAAGAGATTAAACAAATAAAAAAATCTTGTCGTTTGTGAGTCTAAAGACCGACGTGCAATGTTAGGTCGCCGGAACAATTTTATGAAATCTCCGCAGACCCATGGAAGCATGACACAACAAAGTCTGAAGGGTTAAATTCATTACAAATTAATAAATAATTACAATCACATATAAGATGCTTCCACGGGCCCGTATAAAGAAAATCTGCTAAAGAACTAATTAATGGGTTAATTGATTTATGTATGGTCATTAATTAATTGATTACGTATGATTAAAACTATATCTAATTAATGGGTTAATTCTCACTCGTCATTATTTGTTTCTCTTTTCCTGTGATAGCCAACTGTGGCACGAGTTTTATCGAAATGTTTTTTTTAAGTAACCAGAGTTTTTGTAAAAAAAAAATGAAATTTAAAATGAAGATTTTGTTTGTGAGGTAAACTTTGATGACAAAATTTGAAGACAGTCCAATCTCATTTATGTTAACATTTTGTCATAAATGAGATTGAAAACATAAATGAATTTGGGGAAAAAAAATTATTAAAGATTATAAAGAGTTAACGTTATTATTGAATTCATTTATGTTTTTTTTTATTTTTATTCTACTAGGAGATTCTTTATAGAATTATAAATTTTTATCAAAATAAAAGTATATTGGGCAATATGGAGAGTTAAAGTTATCTAATATGGAATTATATTCTTATAAACTACCTATCTATTTAAACTTTTTTAATTATCAATGATAATAACAATTGTCCTACAATTTGACATTAATGAGTTATTTGATTAAAATTAGACTGAGATGTTAATGTATCGGGCAACATAATTTGTTCAGCTTAAGCATGGATTAAGTACGACTAAGCTTAAGCATGGGTTATTTGATTAAGTATGATATTAAAATTAGACTAAGAGTCGTTAATATATCGGGAAACAGGATTAGTTCAGCTTAAGCACGGATTTTATGCACCGATAAGATCAAATCAAGGATATGATAGAGACAGAAGATGCGAAGGATTTAACCTAACTGATCTGAGATTATAGTACGTGTCTATATATGAGAGATTTAGATAAGAGATTAGGGTTAAATTATTTTATGTGAGGGGTGGGTTATGGAATTCGATTGGTACGAGATTAAAATAAGAATCTGTCGGAACACATGTTCGAATGTGAAGCACGATGACGATCGCTTGCTTTTGTGGTTTGGTCAAAAAAGTTCCTTGAAAGTTCATTTTTTCTCGAGCACCCATTACACAATGTGTGTGTATATATATATATATATATGTATAAATATTCTCCAAAAAAAATATGACTTTGAAATTAAAAATGTGAACCATATTTTCTCCGGAAAAAAATTGGAGAATTGAGAGTAGAAATTAACTCAATGAAAAAAAAAAGAGACAAAAACGTGAAATTGATGGTTCGGGTGATCTGGTTCGTTTCTTTTTACATCTAATTAGATGAATTTTCTTTATGTATTATTTGGTTAATTCATTTTGTTTTGGTTTTTAATTTTTATATATCCAAGCCAAAACCCACAACAGTCTCCTTGATATTTTTTTTGTTGTTAACTCTTATTCTATAACATTTCAAAAAGGAAAAAAAAAGGTTTCCTATTTTACGCGGACACGTACGTACGTACGTTTTTAACATGCAACACATGTGACCGTAAAAAGAAATCGAGTTTTACATGATCACTCCAAATTCCAAGATTTATTTTGTTTAATTTATAAATATGCAAATTAGTTTTGTTTAGAACACGAGTAGTAAAACAAATCGATTATTAAAAACAAAAATATCTCGAACACTTTTTTTACGATCGATATTTTCCTTTCCACATTTTTATAAACTCACAGGTAGATTAATGAAAAATTCAATTAAAAAAAGGTTATAATAGAAAATATATACTAAAGATGTTGGACTTGGACCAATTGTTTCTCATTCATCTTTCC